TTTCTCTACTTATGCTTAAAATTTATTGAAAAAAAATAAGATTATGTTTTCAATTTAATTGTTTTCTCCTTAATTTTTTTTCAAAAAAATCTCGTTTGCGACCAAATCTCCTTAAATATTAGAAAAAGATCTCCTTAAATCTTCTTAAAACCCTTAATTTTAGCCTTAGTTTTATTAGTGGGAACCCTTTATTATTGTTATTATATGATTATATGTAAACTTTGAAAAGAAAAATAAATATCTTGTTGTTGTTGTTGTTGTTTCACCAAAACACAATTTGAGGCAATCTTTGAATTCTTTCTTTTCTGAAAAACTTAGTCTTTTAAGAATTTAGCTTTAGATATTGTTCAGATAAATTTTTTCTTTTTTTTACTCGAACAGGTGTTTCCAAATCAAAATTAAAATGCTAAGTTTTTTAAATAGAGCTATTGCTTTTTTTGCTGTTGTGCCTTCTGGACCAATAACAACCTTAAATTTACATTTATTGATATAAAAATATATAAACATTTTGTAATAAAAATATATAAATATTTTGTAATGAATTTTGTAACAAACTTTGTCTAATAAATAGACACACTAACACTTATGCTGCGAATGTCTAAAATAAAATTATAGTGGAATGTAATTTCAGGAATATTTCAGAATTTCTTTTTCATTTTCTTAAAATTATTTAGTCCATATATACGCTCAATAAGTAGTCCATATATGGCTCTATAATTTCATGTCTATTCTTTTAGATTGTAATATTTGATTTATATTTATTATTTGATTTATTTTTATGATTTATATTTATTATAATATTTATTAAACTAATATATTTAAGTGAAAAGTTATTCAGTAAACTAAAAGTGACGTTACATTACTTTTTTCCTTCTTTCTTTTAATAATATGATATTATGCGCAGGCCCGCCCAGAGCTTTTGTGATGCCCGGGTCCAAAATTTGGATGCCCTATCATACTTCAGGTCTTAAAATAACAAATAAATTAATGTAGTTTACTTTCATAAAAAACCAAAAATCACATTTAATTTTGATTTGCAAGAACAAACTATGATAAAATCAATTCTTAATCGACAAACACATCTACCGGGCCTTCTTAGCAGCAAAATTTGAAATAACTCCTTCATAATTAACGTTAATGGCTAAATCTGATTCGATTGAAAGGATCATCAAGTAGCACAATCGTTCCTGGCCCATTGTGGAACGAAGATAATCTTTGATGATAGCTAACTTGCTGAAAGATCTTTCTCCTTCAGATGTTGAAACGGGCAATGTTAGAAAGATTCTAAGAGAAACACACACTTGCGGAAATATTGAATGCAGCCCCTTTGCATAAACTTCATTTAGAAGTTCAACAGGCTTTTCGCTGGCTAGAATATTTCTTCTTACGGAAAAAAAATGCCGAACTTCATCAGAAAATTTGTTTTTACATAAGTCTTTTGGGTAAAGTTTAGCCAGATTCTCAGCTTTTAAACCTAGTTCTTGGTCTGTTTGAGATTTCTGTAAAGACCAAAGGAAGGAAAACTTGCTACATTCCTCTTCTATTACTTTAAATCTTGATCTCATTTGACTAGTCAGATTGTCGAGTGCAACATTGAAGACATTACACTCAAAGTTTTTTGATGCTTCTTCGTGGTTGTAACCAGCAGTTTCATCTGAGATGATCTTTTTTCGCGTTCTCTTCACAGTAAACATTATTTTATCAAATTTCAAGTTCTTTCCAACTTCTGTTGCCTCTATCAAAATCAGGTCCCAAGACAGACGGATTCAATCCAGATCCATCAAAAGGCCATTTAGAATCTTTACTTCATCATCGAGAGTGAGTTGAGTGGATTGAAGCAGAAGACTCACGTTGTTAACTGCCATCAAAAATTTAAACCAAAAAGAATTGAAAACAACAAATTCAAAAAAATTCATCCATTTAATGAGATAATGCACTTCATTACTACTTTCGCCTGGAAGGTCTAACTCTTTTAGACGATGTAATGATTTCAAGATCTCTTTTGGCTTTTTTGCTAGTGGCTTAACTGATTCAATCCTTGAACTCCATCGTGTAACAGAAAGTTTATGTAATGATTGACCTGTCTCCTCCTGAAGAATTTTCCAATGAACTGGGCTGCTGCTGAACAGATTGTATAGCTTTTGAATATTTCCAAAACAGGATTATGCAGGAGCCGATGATTCAATAGCGTGTACTGCACATAAGTTCAAACTGTGAGCAGAGCAAGGAATGAAAATTGCTTGTGGATTATTCTGTCTTATCAAAGCTTGAACTCCATTGTAAATACCTGCCATATTAGCGCCGTTGTCGTAGAGTTGACCACGACAATTTTTTATGTCGAGCTCATTCTCTTCCAACACATTCAATATCAACTTTGTTATATCAGATCCCTTCTTCTTTTTAAGTTCTTCTAGCTTAAGGAATCTTTCTATGACCTCCCACAGCTGATTATCATTGAAATGCAAAAAACGAAAGTTTGTCAGAATTATGGTCTGGCAACTCATTAGAGTCATTGATACCGATCTCAATATCATTGAACTATAAAGAAGTATTAAATAGAATTATTCTAATTATTTTTTCATGAACGTCACAAGATTGAAAAATAGTTTAACTACCTGCTTGCATTTATCTTCGGTTTTTGTCCAACGAACGCAATCTAAAAGCGTTCGTTTGTTTTTGCTTTCGTTTTTTTTTCCGAATCATCGCTCTTTTTCTCCCAGCAGCTCCAGACAGCTGTTTCAATCGTGGAGGTCTTTGATTACTCATGCTAAAACTTATGACGATATAAAGAATTTTAACTTTTTAAATTTTAAAAATTATAAACTTTATAATACTTTGGTGTTATTAATTGCAGAGAAAAAGCCAGTACAATTAAAATATCCACTGAAGATAAGTTTCTTGTCAAAATATAGTCGGAACAAAATGCAGGCGAGTCAAAAACATACATATGCACAAAAGTATCCACAGGGATGCAAGGTTTAAGCAAAAATAAGTTAAACTATCAGAAATCAGGCTTTTACAAACGTTAAATAAGAAAAAAAAAACTTTAACGCTTTTTATTCTATCATACGAATAAAAGGCCAATGAAAACGCGTGCGTTCAAATGGATAATGAAAACCTTGTAAAGTAATAATTTTCCTATTTTAAATGCAAACAGAGTTTAAAAGGAGAAAGAAATTAATACACAAAAATTGCCTAATCTTTAAATACGTTATCAGCTAAATTTTTTATCATTTCAATAATTTTTTTTTAAGGCATGTGATGCCCCATAGACTGTGATGCCCGGGGCAAACTACTTCAATTGCCCCCCCCCCCCTCTTGGCGGCCCTGATTATGCGAATAAACAATTAAAATATCTGTTAATTGGCTGACATTACAGCCGCACAAACATGGATAATGTTCACCATGAAGATATTCAGCTTAAATTGGATTTTTGGATTATCACCTAAATGATAAAACTTTATTCAGCAGGTCATAATTTACTTAGGCGCAACTGGCTTAAAATTGAAACATGATCTGACCAAATTATCAAGTTTCTCAAATATATACCTGTCGAATTTTCTCAAATATTTTTTTGCGAGACATGATCTTCAAAAATTCTTTTGCGTATTTTATGCAATGAGATTTTTCTACCTGAAATAAAAGATACAGACGTTTTTAGTTCTCCAAATTTTTCTATAAAGGTAGTGGAACAGAGACTCCACTACCTTTATAGAAAAATATTTCTTGATAAAAATTATTAATTAATAAAATTCTAATCAAGTTAAATGACTGCGTTTGTTATTTTCAAAGTTTAATCATTTCATAAATAGGTGAACTACAAAAAATACTAATGAGAAAATTTCTAAATGTATTTTAAAGGTATATATGCACGTACCATGAACATTTTTAGAAACACGGTTGTTTTTGAAAAAAAAAGGCTGTTTTAAATAATAAATTTATATCTTGCTCAATTTTTATACTAAAATTTGCACAAAATAAAGAGAATTTTGTAAAAACGGGGGGTCGATCACACACGCCCCCCTTCCTCCTCCACGGTACGAGCATGTATATTTGGAAAAATCACTATAGGAAAATACTCTGATACCTGATAACTTTTTGAGTTTTCTTTTTGCTCTAATTTTGTTAATTTTACTACTGCTAAAGGTGTTTATATCAACGTTATTTTGTTCCAAGAACCTACGGACAACCATGTTACCGTTTAATCCCGGAATTTTGTATTTCTTTGCAAGAGCTGAGAGATTAATCTAAAATATTCCATACTTTTTCATACATTTTTATTATTTTGCAGTGTAGATTTTTAGTTTATTATTTATGCAGTGTAGATTTTTTTTAGATCTCTTTATTCGAATATTTTGATCTACTCTTTTATTTAAATTAGAAAAATTAATTTAATTCCTATACTTCTGAGCCTATTTTCATTTCCTGGACCCCTAAACCTCTTGGACTGGCTAAGAGGTTTAAGGGGATTTCACCTGCCCCTCTACTCTTAGTACCAAAAAACTATGTGATTAAGTCTTTTATTTATTTTTACTAATTTTTTTGCTAATATAATGGCCCCATTTATGTCTGGACAGTGCTAGTCCGACCCTGATCACACTTATAATAACAACACAATCATAAGGATTTACTAAAAAAATTCGTCATATCATTGCACAGCACTTATATGAGACAGTTAGTTTAACTGCATCTCGTTTAGATTCAAAGTGAAGGCTTGTGCGAATCTTTAAGTAAGCTTATTCCGATTGACGAACACCAAACAAAGTATTGGTGTCTTTACTATTTTTTTTCTCAATGACTTTCAACAGTCGCTTTCAACTTACGGTGGAATTTCCGTACTTTCTTTTTTTTATCTGCAGAAGATAACTTTTCTACCAAATTGTTTGAAGGCAATTTTTCAAGACTTTTAGAAATCGTGTGCCATAAAAAGAATCCCAAGACGTGGTGATGTTCTCCAAGACCAATTTACACGTTTCTTTCATGTTAGAAAGCAAGTTTTTTTTTAAAACGCTTGAAATTTTGGTAGAAAAATTGATTTGCACTTCAGATTTAGTTGTGAACGTCTTGGTAATATTGCTTAGCGTTGAACGCGACTTTTTTGGCCGATGGTTCACTGAAATCGGAAAAGTATTAACTATTTTATCATCGTTTTTACATAAACTACAATCATTAAGTGTATGTTCTTTTTGCATAAAAGGATTCAATACTTTCTATGGATATTGGGAATAGCGTTTAATAAACTTAATTTTTTGGTCACCACCCCATTGATGTTTTATTTGAAATGCTGTTATATCATGTGATTTTTGCTGAAAATATCTTTTGTTTTGTTAATGTGCTGAAGTTGACTATTAAATCGTTCATATCTTTTGCGTTTCATAGTATAATGGATTTCTTCTAAACCATTTAAAATCTCAGCTCTCATATAAAAACACTCAAAAACTTTTGCCATCTTGATGAGAATATATATCTATATCAGTTATTTTTAAATCTATAGTTAAGCAAATAGGTTCCTTTTTTTTTTCTTCATATAACCACTTCAGAGCAAGATAAAAATTGAATAATCAACATTATAAGAAATTTATCGCCTTGTTATTGTTTTTAAAAACCTTAGAACGGCATTGTATTGTTTTTCGAGATGTAGGTATAAATATAGAAAATAAGAAAAATTATTATTTTTGCTCTCTTTCCTATATAAAATCTGGAATTTTATTGTAGGTCCATTATACGTCATTGATTAAATTTGTTATTTTTTTTTAAGAATAAAACCAAAATAAACTTAAATGTGATTAAACTATATCATATAAAATTTAGTTATTAATATATGTAGATGAAGATCTCGTTGATATATATCATTTGCTAAACAAACAAAAAAATATAATGATGATTATTATTACCAATTAAAATAATAAATTTTATTAATAACGATATAATGACAGTAACTTATTTTAGATTTTATCTAAGATTTATTATAAAATATAACTCTATTAATTCTACTATAAAAAGGTTTAATCCAGATATATATATATATATATATATATATATATATATATATATATATATATATATATATATATATATATATATATATATATATATATATATATAAATATATATATATAAGTTATATATATATATATATATATATATATATATATATATATATATATATATATATATATATATATATATATATATATATATATATATATATATATATATATATATATATATATAAATATATAAGTTATATATATATATATATATATATATATATATATATATATATATATATATATATAAATATATAAGTTATATATATATATATATATATATATATATATATATATATATATATATATATATATATATATATATATATATATATAATTTAAGCCACTGAATTTCCCTTTCTGAAAATCCTCCCCACCCTCTGATAGATCTTGTGTTCATGATTTTATGTAATCAAATAGTCTAATCCATTTGATCCATAAGACAAAAATACAAACCAGAAAGAGTCGTATAACTCAAGAATTTTATAGAATTTGCCTTTAATAAATGCAATATTCATATCTGCAAATCTACATAAATCTAAACAGCATAAAAGTGAATCTTTTGTATGGGCGACGTAGTAGCAGAATAATATAAGTGTAAGGTGCAAACATGCATAAGAGCGATTTGGTTTGAAGTGCTCCAAAGTTGTGCACTTCTTTATAATAAATGAATTTAAAAAAAAATGAATAAACTGGATCAAGGAGCTTTTGTGTGGCTAAAGACTCTGCCCTTTCCGCCTACCTACCCTCCCTCTCCCCCAAACATTCATTAGGGTCCCAAAATCATAAAAACATACAGTCAGTTACAAGCATTATGTTTATGAGCGCATGTTCAAAAAGTTCATAAGAAATTTCAGATATTTTAAAATGGTTGCGGATCTTAGATTTTTTATATAGCAACTTTTTTCTAATTTTAGTTTTGTAAAAATTAATGCTGCAACTTATTAATTAAACTCGTGATGAATGGAGTATTTGGACCAAATGTTGTTTGTTGTATTTAAACCTAGCACCCAATTTTTTCATAAATGGAATAACATCAATAAAATTGTATTAAACCAGCAATATATTTTTTTAAAGTCAAATAGATTGTGTTAGTAAAAAGCAAATCTCTTTTAATATTAGGTACGCGGAAATCACGATTTACGAAACCGATTGTGCTAAAATTTTGTGGCTTGTTTTTTTAACTTTTTTTTAGGTAGCATTAGGCAAACATATTTTTGTTAAGTTTTTTTTTAGAAATGTATATACAGATAGATACTTTTTTGAAAGAAGAAAGATTAATCTTGATTTTATATAACTTTTATGAATGGTTCCTGAATTTTTTTATGGATTATTTGGATTCTGAAAAATAGGTTAATGTTCTCACATAAATATCTAGTCGATGGAATATTGATCCTGGTCTATTTATTATTTAAAAAATTTCTACATGCAATTTTTATGCACATATCAAATTTCAACGAAAAAAAAAGGGAGCAGATAGGTTTCAAAGGGTTCTACTACACATACTGCATTTTTTCGGTAGTCTTAGTAAAACGTACTTTTGTGGTATTTCTTTTTTAAAAAATATGCAAATAAAGATTTTTTTTTGAAAGAAAAAAGGTTAAGCGTGATTTCTAGATTACTTTTATGTATGATTACTAAACTTCTTTATGGGTTATTTTGCTTCAAATTTTGCATGAAAACTAAGACGATGTTCTCACTTGAATTTGTTGTAGAAGAAATGTTGATCCCGCTCTATTTATTATTTAAACAATTTTCTACATGCATTTTCTATGTAAATGCCAAATTTAAAGGAAAAAAAAAGGGAGCAGGCAGTTTACTAAGAGTAACACTTTTGGTACCTAATTTCTGTTTTTCTGATTTTTTTTTCGGTTATAACAAATTACGGGGGCAGCTAGGGGGGTCATTCGCAAAACAATTGTTATTGCGAGAATGTTTATTCGGAAAAAATGAATGGGACTCTGTAACAACTAGTAAGATATTTTTTTTAAATAAAAGTATAAATAATAATTATTTTTAAAACTAAATTATGTTGATAAATTTAAAAATCTTTTTTAAATTCTTAACGTTTAAAACTTAAACTTCAGTAAAACTGTTGCTTTTGAATTAATTGTTAATAGATCAAAGTATTCTCAATTGAGTTACAATTGAGAATACTTTGATCAAAGTATCAGTGGACAACTTTATAAAAACACCATACATAAATAAGAGTAAAGATCACATACTTTATGTGATGTTACACTTATTAATTTTTACACTTATTTACTTTACTAACAAAAGCCTTGTTTGTATTTTTAAAATATTATCATCATCTTATTATCATTTTAAAATAAAACCATTTAATTATTGATCACAATAGCCTGTTTAATAGGCTATTGTAAACAATAATTAAAAGATAAAGTAGTATACAATTTATATATTCCATTATCTAAACATTTTAATTATTAAATACAAAAATAAAGTAGTATACAATTAATGTTAATAGTCAATAACAGTTATAACTTTTTATATTAAAATACTTTAATAACATAAACTTAATCATTAAGATAATGTTTTTAAAGTGTTTTAATAATGTTAAAGCAATATCAATAGTATAAAAGATAAAATTGTTATTAACTAATAATATTCAATAACAGTTTTATCTTTTATACTATCAATATTGTTTTATATTAATAATTTTGAATTATAAATTTCAAATTAATAAAAAAATTAATAATAATTAATAATTTATTGTTTATACTTTAACTTTGTAGCAATATCCCAAGTGTTAGTTTGTTGTTTGTAATTAGATTTTTTTAATATTTTTATTGTTAATTTTCTGTTTAAGTTTTTATTTTGCCATTTATGATGGTAGAGTTAAAAAAAAGTAAACAAGAAATAACAAGGCAGAAATTACATTATTTCTTATTGGAAACAAGATGGAACTGATATTGAACTGTCGAAAGATTAAAAACTTCAGCTAGTTGTTGTTGTTATATCAGGGAAGTTTAAATTTTCTTAATTGGAATATGAAGTTAATGTAAAAATGCTCACAGTATAGAAGTTTTGTAACCAGCAAATTAACTGCCACAAAATTATGGCTTGCAAATAGGTTTTGCAAGTTTTGTCCTTGAAAATAAGTACAACAAGTTTTTTGACTAGCAAATAAGTACCACAAGTTTTGTTGCTTGGATATAAGGTACAGCAAGTTTTGTGGCTTGCAAAGAGGAACCACAAGTTCTGTGGCTTGCAAATATAGTACAGCAAGTTTTGTGGCTTACAAATAGGTATTGGAAGTTTTGTGGCGTGCAAATAGGTACTGCAAATTTTGTGACTTGCAAAAAAAGTATCACAAGTTTTGTTGCTTGCAAATAAGGTACAGTAAGTTTTGTGGCTTGCAAGTAGGTACCGCAAGTTTTGTGGCTTGCAAATTGATTAGTTGGCTCTGGCTTACCTTTACGTTATGTCTAATGTTAAAAATTATTCATTTTGTTTCGTTAATGTAATTTAAAAATTAAATTATTTACTAGAAGCCTAGACAAGAAATAATTACATTTTTTATTTCAAAAAATTTTTTTTTTTTTGTGTGTTTTATTCTCATGTTGGAGTGGTTAATATGTTCCTTTACATAATAATGTATACTCAGATGCATCTTGCAATGTGGTAAAATAGTTTTTTATTCAAATTTATTTTTCTTTAAAAAAACATTTTAAGACTTCTTTGTTATATTGTAATTACAAATTTTTTATTTGGTTCCGTCAGAGGAGAGGGATGGCTTGCTCCTCTTTTTATAAAGACAAATTATACATCTCTAGGTGTATAAATTGCCTTATTGAAAGGGGGTGCATAAAGGCAATATATACATACTATACTACACTTTTTTATTTCAAAAGGCTTGTTGTTTTCGTGTATTTTTTTTTAGGTTGAAGTGTGTAATCCATCTTTTTTCATGACAAAATGGTTACTCTGATGCATTTTGTAATGTGTTAAAATTTTTTTTTTTACTAATTTCTCTCTGTTTTTTAAAAAAGCATTTTAACATTTTTTTGTGAAATTTTCATAAAATTTTTATTTTCATGTTCATTGCAGAGGAGGGGGGGGGGCAGTATACGCCCTCTTCCATCAAAGCAATCTATACACCACTAGTTACTCTTTGTTGTAGTGTTGAAATATATTTTTTTGTTTTTTATAATAGATTTAATCATTTTAGTAAAGATTGTAATAATTAAAAGAATGAAATTTTGATAGGGTGTGTTAAATCTTCCCCAAAACCCAACACCCAATTTTAAGATAAGCCTGTAATATTTGCTAGTGATGTGAAATAAATAAATCATAACTTGTTTTATATAAATATTACTAATTTTATAAAGAAAACACTCTATTTTAAAAAAAAAAATGGTATTTTTGTGAGGTGTAGGTGGCGGATTAGCACCCCCTCTGGATCCCTCTGTGCGCTCTTTACCAAGAAACTAGTTTGAAATTATAGCCCATTTTTACATCTATCTTTTGATACTAAGTTATAGATATTTGAATATGAATTGTCAAAGTTATAATAATTTATGTAGAAAAAATTTTTTTTTTGACCACAGTTTTATCAAGAAATCCATATATTGAAAAATTTCTACTAAAAAATGTTATATTTTTTTATAGAATTGTCTAATTTTCATAATTTTTTTACCTTTGAAATACTGTATTTGAGGGCTTTCCAATAATATATAGCATTCTAGTATTGGATCAATTTAAAAAAATTAGTCCACGTACCTTTTAATATAAATTTTATTTCTCAAACATACTACGAACACTCTAATATGATATATTATATATACTTATAATTTATGAACCAATAATTTTTTATGAATATCTAATCTAAAAACAAGATATTTAAATTCATTTACTTTTAAGAATATCACTCTAATTCTATTATTCTTTTCTTTCTATTCAAAACCAAGTTGTGTGCTCTTGTTCGTCTATTAAATTGTCTATTTGTCTGAATTCACACACAAATTACCCTACCTCTTCCAATCTGTAATTTTTTTACTTCTATAAAATATTCTCAAAATTATCTTCCTTATTAAGCAAACTTAAATTATATATTCTAAATCATTGTTCAGTTAAGTACAGCATAACAAATCACATCACAAACCAATGCATAAAATCATGAAATAATTTATCATTTTTATTCATAGAATAATTTATTTTTTATATTCATTTTATATCACTAAACTTTACTACTAAAAATCATCTTTGTCTTTTTATTTTGGAGAAATGTAATTACTGTTCGTAAAATGTTGGGCTCGTTGTGGGTCATTATTATTGCTCTTGGTATGATGTAATATAAATATCAAAGTTATTTTACTTCTATTCATATCACATTTACTTATTGTTATTGTTTAATATTAAATTTAATATTTATCAATATTATTGTTACTATTATTATTGTTATTATTATATTAATATAAATATAATTGTTAACATTAGTTACCTCGTTATAATTGTTTTAATATTGTTATTGCTATTATTATACAATTGGTTTTTACTTAAGATTAGTATTAGTACTATTTCTAAATATCCATGTTTATGTTGCATACATACACATATATGACATATATGTGTATGTATGCATATGTGTTTTCTTTTAAGCAATTGCAAGTTTCCAAATACATGCAATGTAAAGTAAGTAAAGAAAACAATACTTTTCAATTAGTAAATTTAGTATTATTAATTAATTTTAATTTTTTACATTTTTTATTCTTATTTTTATAACATGATCAATTAAAATGCACTAGATCATTGTTCTGGTGCATTTTAATTGAACTAATTATAGAAATTTAGTTTATTAACCTGGGTAAATAAATTTCCAATTGAGAGAGTTGATAGAGTTGCAGCATTTTTAGAGAAATATCAATGTTTCCCTAATGTTTTATTGGTAAAAAATTTATATATTTATTTGTGATTTCATATATTTATTGGATAAAATGAAATAGTGTTTGAAAATCACAAATCCTTTTTTAAATGAGAAGGTTTTTTCAAAACTGCTATGTCCTCTAAAGGGTTATTTTATAAGTTTTCTCTGCATTTTAAAGTTGTATGCTTTTTTTATTATTATTACTTAATTCAGATTGTTGGCGACATGACTCATGTATTAAAGTCTTCTGTCACAGTTAACTCAGCAAGAATGAAGACATTGATACACTTTTGCATTAAGGAATACACAAGTTGGCAGTTCCTCGCCCACTGCCACCCAAATACAGGTAGGTGTGCATGCATACACAACCCTCAAAATTAGTCATACTAAAATGAGTTATAAATTGTCGACATTTTAAGATATGAAAAGATATTATTGTTAAATTTTGAGTTTGTAAAATTTTTTTCAGGTATAAAAAATTTTTATCTGTACATAACAGACGATGGAGACGAAGTGATTATTATGTGTGGCAAAAGATTATTTTATGAAGTTTTTCATTTTCTGACTTTGTGATGGAACTTATTAGAGTACACTTGTTTTGGACATAGGAGGAGTATTGCCGCTACAAGCATGAACAATAATAAAACATTCCAAAGAATAATTTGTTATTTCAACGATTAGATTTGTTGTTTAAATGTATAAATGCTTGTTGAATATTCTTATATATCATTCTAATTTCAAAATAATGTTTCACTTTTTCCATGGAAAAAGTACTTTTGTAATATTGTTTTATAGTTCAGGGGAAATATTATTGGAAAAAAAAAATAGAATCTTATTTTAAATAAAAATGACATTGAAACAAGTAAAAAAGGATTTTTTTTGAGGAATATAAGTTCTTGAAACAAGAAAAAAAGTTCTTGTTTTAAAAATAAAAATTCTTAAAACAAGAAAAAATGTTCTTATATTAAGAATAAAAATTCTTAAAACAAGAAAAAAAATTCTTAAAACTAGAAAAAAAATTCTTATATTAGGAATAAAAATTTTTAAAACATGAAAAAAATTCTTATATTATGAATAAAAATTCTTAAAACAAGAAAAAAAATTCTTATATTATGAATAAAAATTCTTGTTTTAAGAATAAAAATTCTTGAAATAAGAAAAAAAAATATTTAAAAAGAAAAGTTCTTAAAACAAGAAAAAAAATTCTTATTTTAAGATTAAAAATTCTTGAAACAAAAAATATTCTTACGTTGCATTTTTTTCTTGTTTTAAGACTTTTTTTGCTTAAAACAAGAATCTAGGATTTTGCTGTGTGGTGAATAAATTTAGTTAAGAAAAAACCTTCACGGGTAATTTCCCTATCATTGATAAGTTTGTAATTTTTTTTTAAGCAATGAGAATTGAAAAAGAAACTATATTATGATTTTATTATAAAAAATCCGTTTAACGCATTTTAAAATGCATCAGAGTATCCATTTTGTAATGTAAATAGAATAATTACTCACTCTGAGCTGAAAAAAATAAAATAAATAACACTACAAAAACAGAAAATAGTTTGAAATAAATAATATAAACCAATTAAATACTTTTTTTTAATGTAAATAAAAATAAATGCTTGATTTTCAGTAAACAACTTTATATTTTGAATTCAATTAACGAAACAAAACAAATCTTTTTTAAAGCTAGACAATGTGTAAAGGTTAGCCACAGCTGTCTAAAAAGAGGTTGCAAATCACAAAACTTTGTATAACCCTTCGTAAGTAACAAAACTTGCTGTACCGATTATAGGCAACAAAAATTGTGGCACTATATAAAAAGTAATTTATATTCACGCATTATATTTTGGGCTGGGACGTTTTCGACGTCCAAAAGCGTCCATTTAAAAAACGTGACGTATTTGGACGACCATTGGACGACGCCCAAAAACGTACCATTTTGGACATAGACGAATCAACCTAAACAGTACGTACTATGGACGTCTTGTGCTTATTGGGTTTTATTTAACTAAATCGAATATTATTTGATTTGTAAGAACTTGATATTTGATTTTATCATATGCTCGATCTTTTCTAAGTCGTCTGGTTTCGACTTTGTCACTGATCGACTTTCTGTCAATTTAATTGCAGTCCATAATAACATTTATAAAACTATTATTAAATTCCTTAGGAAATTATTTTCTTATCAAAAATCGTTTATCAAAATCTATTCAGAAAAATCATAAAATTATTTTCTTTAATTAAAGGACTTACAAAAAAAAAACTAACAAGCTTAACAATAAGCAAAAGGTTCAATTAATTATTAAAAAGAACATTTAGCATATTAGTTTATAACAACAGAGTTAGCTTCTGAGCTAACGTTCCCTTTTAAACAAAATTTTATAAGTGAAAAAAAAGTTAAATGCTGATACTGTTTCCAAACAAGTTCTTTTAATGCATTATATTATAAATTAGATATTTTTCAATATTGAAATTACAAAAATATTTAAAAAATATGAGTTGTACATTAAAAAATAGGCAATAACGAATTTAAAAAAAAAAGTATTTTTCGTAGAAACAATATAGCTGTTTGAACATATCGGCCGATAAGACTGAGGGATCGTCCGTAACTTACGCAACACTAAAATTATTTCAAAAAGCAGAAAAAAGCACTTTTCATGTGATAATCTTTTGTCGCCCCACGTTACATAAAGCTGTTTACATTCTTATTTCAGAAACGATTTAATTAGTCAAATTATATTTGCTACTTTAAAAGTTTTTATTTTAAAGTAGCATTAAAATACATTTTTGGCCAGTAGACTTATTAAAAACATTATAATGCAGTAGACTTATTATTGTAATTTTAATGGAGTAGACACTTAAGTGCAGTAGAAATAACAAAACCTTCTTTTAGTTCAAATTTAGATAACTATTAAAGGTTTCTACAAAGTAGACAAATAATGCCCGTCTTTTAACCATATCTCTTTTAATTTAGAATTTAAATCAAGGAAAACAGATATCAAGCGATTTAGAAAGCTATTTAGATTTACTTGCGCATATAAAATTTAAAAACTCAGCAGTTATTCAACAACTACATACAAGCATCATTAATATCTGATTAAGACTTGATAAGGCTTATATGTTTAAATTTGCTGGTACGTATACTATCTTACAAATTCAAAAATAACCGTTTTAAAAAACCATAAAAATGCACAGTAATAGAAAAAAAGAAAGTAAGGGAGGGAGGGCGAGATGGCAAACAAATTAAAAATCATTGAATTTTTGAAAAAGTGTCAGTCATAAAGCAGCAATACTTTGTCAGTGTTTGTTTTATTGTAATGATTAAATCACTGCATGAATCTTCAGTTTGCGAGTAGAAAACTTTGCTATAAAATTTAACATGTATTTTATAGTCTGGTCATGGAAACGGGGAATGATAACTTCGTATGCGTTTTCTGTCTTCAACTTTATGATATTTAAAAAAAAATTACCAACAACTTAAACTAAAGTTACTCAAAAAACAAACGCTATGCATAAAAATATCACTTTTACTGATTGCAGATTCAAAAGTTTGCAAATACATTATTTGCTGCATAAAGCAGAAGTTAATGGATTCTACCCAGTGGGTACCGGACCGAAAGAAGACGTCTTTTGAACGTTCAAAAGACGTCCAAAACGTTCAAAAGACGTTTAAAGGAGGTCTAACATAAGCATAAAACGTTTAAAAGGCGTTTTTTTACGTGCGTAGCCACTTAGTAATCTGTTAAAAACTGCCCACAAATTCAATAGTAAGCAGAATTTCAAAAAATGTTGTGTCTCATTGTAACAAATGCTGAGTAGTTTTTATTACAACATAATACAATGTAAGGCATTCAAGTGATAGCTTTTGGTTTCCTTGGTAAAAAACCATCAAACATTCATAATTGTTCATACTTAATAAAACTTTGCCTCAATAACATTACTTCGAGTTTTTTGAAAAACCTTCACTATAATGTTTATTAAAAATCTTTCACTTTAAACATAAAAATAAAAAACAAATTTTTTTAACTTGAAAGAATAAAATAATGTTTTTAAGGCCTAAAAATATTTAAAAAAAATATAAAAAAATTAAAGTAGAATTTAAAACGTTTGAAATTTCACTTCCTAGAACATAGTATAACATATATATATATATATATATATATATATATATATATATATATATATATATATATATATATATATATATATATATATATATATATATATATATATATATATATATATATTTGCATATATAAATGCAAATCACTTTAAGTTTATATATTTTATATATAAACTTGAAGTGATTTGCATTTCTACTTTACCAGAAGTATCATGATTAAAATCAGAAAATGTTTTGCAAAAATCGATAGCGGAAAAATGCGCATAAGAAGTATAAATGTTTTTGTCACTCCTATACAATTTTTTTAAATTTCTTTATTGAAAGTTTAAAAAGTAAGTGAAAGACAAATTTTTTATGTTATTAATCCAAAATGTCTTGAATATGAGCATAACATCGTGTCAATTTTTTCCAAAATGTTGAAGGGAATTAATGGGGTACCTCCTTAATAATTACCCGATTTGGAAGGGCTCAATTAAATTAATAGAATTGCATAAATCTGTTTAAAATGAGATAATATCGTTTCTAAGTTTACGTCAAAGAGTTATTAAATTATTTTTAAATAATAAAATATTAGATAAAATTAAAAAACTAATTTGAAAAACAATTGTATTAAGCACTTGAATCGTCACACGCCAGTAATCTTGCCTTCCATATAAAGACGCAAAATTTGGTAAACCTATGCACATTTATCAAACCATATGCTGAGATTAAACGAACATCGCGACACAGATAACAGATAATAAAATGATATTAAAAGATACAATTTATTTTTTTTGTGTGTGTTTTTACTATATTTCTTTTTAGTATTTCAAAATGAGTTTGAATTACTTAGCGAAGTGCGTTTTTTTTCTTAGAGAGTGATCTTTGGTGTTGTTTTACTATTCGTGGTTACATACGGTTTACGTATGAAAAGTTTTTTTTTTTTTTTTTTTTTTTACATTACAGAGAATATTTTTTTTTTTTTTCAAAATAATTTAAAAAAAATTCGTAACTGTAACATTAAATTTTAAAACACTTTACCAGTTTCAAAAAATACCAGCAAATAAATATAAGAAATAATTTTTTTTTTTTGTCAAATATTTTTTACAACTACATAGCTTTAACAATACATACTTTTATTACAAATAGTTTTAACAATATATACTTTTATTACAAATACAGTCAAAATGCTTTGAAAACAAATGAAATAATACCTAGATATATTTGATGTACAAAGTAATAAAATAATGTAAAATAGTTTTTCAGTTTATATTTTGAAAAGACAAAAAAGGTCTTAAAAAGGGAAAAATTAATACTTTAGTCATGTAGTCAAGGGAAACTCGCAGAAAACTGTGTAAAGTCTTGTCATCGAGAACCCTTTTTTTAAACAATTTCATGAGATACTCATAAATACTTTATTCATTACTTATTACATTTTTCAATATAATTAGTTGTGTTTTTAGGAAGGAGCATAACATAAACATAACATATATACATATATATACACATACATACACACACATACACATATATATATATATATATATATATATATATATATATATATATATATATATATATATACATATATATATATATATATATATATATATATATATATATATATATATATATATATATATATATATATATATATATATATATATATATATATATATATATATATATATATATACATATATACATATACACATACATATACACACATACGCATACACACATATATATATATATACACATACATACATACACATACACATAAATACACACATACACATATACTTACATACACACACACATACATACATATATATATATATATATATATATATATATATATATATATATATATATATATATATATATATATATACATACACACATACACATACACACAAACATACATTAATACACATACATACATACACACATATTCTCATACACATACAGACATACATAAACATGCACATACACATACACATGTATATATGTATATTCATACTTTTTTTATTATTATTATTTTTTTTTATTATTATTATTTTTTTTTTGTACATGATTTTGATATTTTAATTACTCATAAGTTATTAGAAAATTTCCATATAACTGCTTGTATTAAAGACAAGTTTTTTAAGATAAGATTTTAAGGAATTTATATTTTTCAGGAGAGATATTGAGGAATTTTTTGGAATTAATTTGTTATACAAGTAATTAACATCTTCGCAGTTTGAGTTATCTTGTTTTAGCTCTTCATTATTGAGTTTAGAGATAAACCGGTATAAAAAATACAAACTTCATAGACACAGCATATAAAAAGAGTTTTATTATTTCTGTTTTTATGCTAGCTTTTTTGATAATAACTTAAGTTTCAACGTAGTACAAAAACATTAATTTGAGTGATATAATCCAATCATTGGTAATAGAACAAGATAAACCTAACCTCGCGATCTCTCAGAAATTCAGTATATTGCTTTACACAATAATACAAATTTTTTATTTAAAAAGTATGATTTTTGTTTTAAACAGGTTTTTTTGTTGTTTCAGTTTGTTTTTTAGCTAAAATTTTTAAATTTGCCTTTTTATGTATCTTTTTCAGATGAGCTGATTAGAGATTACGAAACAAGTTTAAAATCAGCGGAATTAGTAGCCACTATTCCTGTATAAGCTATGTCCTACAAGGTATCGTTTAATTTAAAACCCAAGTCATACTCATATGGTTTTTAAAGTGTTCTTCATTTCACTATTGGTAATGATATCAGTGAATTCGGTGACGGAACTCCAACACTTTGGTTTCGACCCTAAGAACCTAACTATAAGGGTTTTTTACGTCACTGCACCGATAAATTAAAATAGGAATAGAGAAATCTATATTGATGCACTTCCTTACAATGTGTGGAAAAACGTTGTTATTATTCAGCAACGTATTGATGACAAATATGTTTTCACAATTAACGTAAATGGAGCAAACGCATTTTCTGAAAATAATGCCAAACCCCAAAAATTTGACAACGTGAAAGTTTTTGCTTCCGATCAGTAGTATTCATCTCAAGATGGATCAATAAAAAATCTCATTCTTAAAAACGGGGAGCCTAGTATTACTTTTTTTTTAACGCTCTTTTTTACTATTTTTGTCTAACGCATTTAAAATCAGGCGTATCAAAGAGTCTGCTGTTTCGTTTTGTATTTTAATAATTAAAAGTGTACATTCAAAAACTTTTAAATGCACTATTTGTTATTTTTTTATATCTAAACTAGTTTCATAAACAGTACTTTTATTTTTTACACTTTTACTTTTAATGAATTGTCTAACTGAATTTAAATGGATTCTATTATTCGCAAGTTATTTTAGGTGAATCTTTTCCGAAAGCCGTACTGAAGTCGAAATGTAAGATTTATCACAGCTATTTAATAACATTATTTTTAGGAGATTTTTTTATTTTTGACTGTTTACTTATAATTAAATTTATTATAAAGATAGTTAAAAGGTGATTTTTTCTTTACTTTAGATTTTGTGGATAACGAAGTTGAAGAGACACTGAAGAAAAATAACTTGGTTGCGATTTTGTCAAAATTAGAACAATCATTCGATTTTTATTTCGATTTAAAACTCAACAGTTTTTCAGATGGATTTAGGTGTGTCATTCATTTGACTATATGAGAGGATAATTCAAAATACGGTGATCGAATTCTTGGTATTTGGGTTTTTAAGCAAATGTTACACGTTGGTTTTGCAATAAACAATAATAAAAATGAATATTTTGAATCCAAGCCACTTCAACAAGGCCAGTGGATAAATGTTCATATACGTCAGCACGCTGAATCTGGAAGTGCTTCTTTTACTTTATATATCAACAACGAAAATGTATATACTGTACAAAACTTCAACCCACAAGAATTTACAAATGTCAAAGTTTACGCGAAAGATTCGTGATATGAAACTCAGGATGGCTCCATTAAAATGTTCAATATCATTAATGGATATTTAGGTAAGTTTTTTACTTTTTTAAGTAAAACTTTTTTATTAGGTAAATCCTAAAACTTTGACATGAAAGCTTGAACGACTGCTGCATCGGTTTTATATTGAATTGTTTGCTTTCATCTTTTTTATTCCTTTATTTTAAAAAAAGGACGCCATACGAAAGAAGTCATTTTGGTTAAATAATTAATGTATTTTAACGTCATAGTTTTTTATTTCATGTTTGTATTTTTTGTAGTTTTGATAGTTTTTGTAGTATGTAATTTTTGATGTTTTGAATTTGTATTTTTTAATTTTTTTGTAAGTTTTCTACTTTTTTGTGTAACACTTTTTTATTAGGTAAATTCTAAAACTTTGACATGAAAGCTTGAACGACTGCTGCATCGATTTTATATTGGATTGTTTGCTTTCATCGTTTTTATTCTTTTATTTTAATTAGATGAGAAAAAGGAATTAAAAAAGGACGCCATACGAAAAAAGTCATTTTGGTTAAATAGTTAATGTTTTTTAACGTCATAGTTTTTTATTTCACGTTTGTATTTTTTGTACTTTTGATAGTTTTTGTAGTATGTAATTTTTGATGTTTTGAATTTGTATTTTTTAATTTTTTTGTAAGTTTTCTACTTTTTTGTGTAACACTTTTTTATTAGGTAAATCCTAAAGCTTTTACATGAAAGCTTGAACGACTGCTGCATCGGTTTTATATTGGATTGTTTGCTTTCATCGTTTTTATTCTTTTATTTTAATTAGATGAGAAAAAGGAATTAAAAAAGGACGCCATACGAAAGAAGTCATTTTGGTTAAATAGTTAATGTTTTTTAACGTCATAGTTTTTTATTTCAAGTTTGTATTTTTTGTACTTTTGATAGTTTTTGCAGTATGTAATTTTTGATGTTTTGAATTTGTATTTTTTAATTTTTTTGTAAGTTTTCTACTTTTTTGTGTAACACTTTTTTATTAGGTAAATCCTAAAGCTTTTACATGAAAGCTTGAACGACTGCTGCATCGGTTTTATATTGGATTGTTTGCTTTCATCGTTTTTATTCTTTTATTTTAATTAGGTGGGATAAAGGAATTAAAAAAGGACGCCATATGAAAGAAATCATTTCGGTTGAATAATTAATGTATTTTAACGTCATAGTTTTTTTTTCAAGTTTGTATTTTTTGTACTTTTGATAGTTTTTGTAGTATGTAATTTTTGATGTTGTGAATTTGTATTTTTTATTTAAAAATACATCTTTCGCATCGCATTCTATTTAGTTGCTTTTTTTAAAGAATTAGTTTATATTCAAACGATTTTTGTATCAAAACATAAGATAATATATAAACGTCTAAAACAAAACATCTAAAACAGTTACTTAGAGATCACATACGATGTTCTTGCATAAAACCTACTTTAAGAAAAAAATAATGAATAGTATTTCCCAAGAAAAAAATAAAGTTTTTAAAACTGGAGTAACTGTGTTCTTTCTTATCACCGCAGAATATCTCTTAACCAGTATTTTTGAATATACGCACCAATATCTCTGGACATGATCAATTTCGTCCAAATATAAGCATGCCAGTATTGCAAAAATATTGGCGCAATATCGCCAGGTTAGAATTATTTTCTTCTTTCTTCTCAACTCAAAAAAATTAAGTTTGTATTTTGAAAAGAAAGTTTTTTTTCTAAGTTTTCAGAAAAGTCGAATTTGTACATTTAATTTTAAATTCTAGTTTGCAAAGTAAATTCTGATGGCATATAAGTACGCACATTAAGCGGTAAAATTTGGAAGTTCATAGCACGTTTTTTGTATGCTTATCAGTATGTCCAATCTGAACCTATATTAGACCAAAACTTTTCGTTTAGCCCAAAACGGAACGAACAGTTTTGGTTTATATTTGGTCTTTTGTATGTGCAATAAACATAACCGCGCTGCTGTGCCAATAATATACTAGTTTTAGTAATAGCAGTTTTAAGCAAAAATTGCATGAAATGTTTTTCAATATTATAAAAAATATCTGAAAAAAGTATTGACAACTGAAGTATAACTGAAAAAAGTATTGACAAAAATTGTCAATACTTTTTTCAGTTGCTTCAAAATTCTTTTTTGCAACTTATTGCTGGTATGTTTATAAATTTTTACTATTTACTTTGTATGTACTTTAAATATAACATTGCTGTTCGTTACATCAATTTTATTAAATTGTCTTTTTTGTGTGGTCTTTAGTCTCAATGACTGGTAAGTTTTTATGGCTTTAATTCTCTATATACATTAAATGCTAATTGCTAAAAAATCATTGGTCAAATAGCATTGTATGTAAAAATAAAATGAGAACTCGACTAAACCATAACGTTAATTGAGCAGATATTTTTAATAGACATTTATTTAATAGACAAATATTCAAATTTTATCAATACAAGAACTTTTTATAAACATTCACTTGCCAAGCAATCTGACAATTTAGAAGTTGATATGGTAGAATCATTTTTTGGCAAATATGACTGACTTTTTAAAGTCGGCCAATTTAACAGTTGATTTGAAAGAGTTAACAAAATATAATTAGTTACACTGTTTCTAACTGAATACTAAATCAATCTGAAATGAAGGTGTTGAATATTGCATGATTAAATTTTTTCTCGCTGCTGATGTTATATTAGAAGAATTATGAAAATATGATTGTATAAGGTATTTAAATTATATTATCCCAGCTAGCACGCTTACGTTGGGCCAACGTCGGGCCGACGTCGAAAAATTGGTTGGCCGACGGTCGATAACCGACGTCGGCCTGACGTCATTTTGGTAGTCGGCGCGACGTCGAAACCGACCGTTGGGCCAACGTTGGCCCAACGTCAGATTACGACGTTGGGCGAGCGTCGAATTCTGACGTTGGCCCAACGTAATATTTTAATAATGAAAGTTTAAATTTGTTCGCAAAAACTTTGTTTTTGATTCATAAGGTGAGCGCACCTTTTGAACCAAAAACAAAGTTTCTGCAAACAAATTAAAACTATTTCTTTAACTAAAGTGCAACTATTTCTTCAAATAAAAAGTAACTATTCCTTTGAATAAAACGCAAACTTCTTTAAATAAAGTGCAACTATTTCTTTATATAAGGCGCATCTATTTCTTTGTAATATTCATTAAAATATCCAAATCAGTTTGAATAAAACTTGAGGCTTATAAACGCAAATAATACACTGACGCTGATTAATGAACCAACTTTAATTACATAGAAAATCAAAACTTGTTGTAATAATCATTATAATTATGTTGAAATATTCGTACAAACTATACACATATTCAAGCATAAAAATGTTCTTCTCAACTGCTAAGCATCCTTACAATTCTTGCATCATTACTTCGTTGAAAGCAACTATAACGTTCGAATGCTCCTTATTATAAAATTTAATAGAAATCTTTAAACTTGCATCTTTCGTTCAATGAGCTTTAGGCATTGCCATAACTACTGTTAAAATAATAAGTATTGTGTTATATATTTATTTGTGTATAATAAGTTAGAAAAACTCCTTTAAAAGGATCATCAGGTATTCTGAAGATCCTTTTAAAGGATATTCAGAATTTAAATTTAAATGATATCCTTTTATATGTATATATATATATATATATATAATATATATATATATATATATATATATATATATATATATATATATATATATATATATATATATATATATATATATACATATATATATATATATAAATATATATACATAGATATATTCAAACTAAAAATATATTTAATAAATCAAAATATCAAAATAAAAATCTATATATAAATAACAAAATAGTTAATATATTAACAATAACAAACATAACTAAAATATATGCACAATATACAAATAAAATGCACATGAATAAAAACAATAATTTTTTAATTTATTACCTGCATAAGGGGCCGTCCATAAATGACGTCACGCAATTTTTTGAATTTTTCGACCCCCTACCTCCCCCTCGTCACAACATGTCACACAAATTTAGACCCCCCATAGAAATTACGTCACAAGGTGCTGACCTCTCCCCCCCTCTCTTTTTTAACAAAAAATAGAAAAATGCCCTCCAAATTCTAAACTTATATAAAATTGTTAATATATATACAATTGTGTATCACACGTCACTCCAACCTCCCCTTCCCCCCTCGTCACATATCGTCACAAAATACTGGACCCCCTCCCTCCCCTAGATGCGTGACGTTGTTTATGGGCAGCCCCTAAACAACAAAATAAAGCAACAAAATGTTTTTTAAAGTATAATAATAGGTGCATTTCTTGATATTGCATTTTTGGCTCACATCCAAACAGAAAATGAACGAAACTGAAAACTTATGTATATAACAGAAAATTAATGAATAATAGTGTCAGTATTCCACTGCAAAATTTTGAGACAACCAGCTTCAAAATTACCCTATACAAATATTATAAGAATTCCATACCGCTAAAATGCAGCAAATGCATATAATGAATACACTCCCAATTAATTGTTACCTACTCCCTCTTTAACAGCTGTCAAATGAATTACATAACAAATGCTTCACTAGACACAACTGAAAAAAAGAATAATTTAAATAAAATCTTAATTCAGTAAATAATTATACATGTAAATAAATAATGAAAAATAAAAACACACAATAGAGACATACTATAATATCTCTCTCTCTCTCTCTCTCTCTCTCTCTCTCTCTCTCTCTCTCTCTCTCTCTCTCTCTCTCTCTCTCTCTATATATATATATATATATATATATATATATATATATATATATATATATATATATATATATATATATATATATATATATATATATATATATATATACATATATATATATGTATATATATATATATATATATATTTATATGTATATATATATATACATATATATATATATATATATATATATATATATATATATATATATATATATATATATATATATTTTACCGTTTGCCAGACCTAATATTAAAGTTTTGTTTCAAAAAAGTAACAAGTGCGTTTGTGACATTTTTTAAAACTGTTGCAATTATAAATTTTTTCTCTCTATATAAGTTTGCATAAACTTTGATAAATAAAGATCAAACATTAATGCTGATCAAAAAAGCATCTTTAACTTTTTAACATAAAGAAAAATCAAAATTTGTCATGATATTTATAATTAAGTTCACACAATATATTTTAACATAATAACGTTCTTTTCGTCTTTGTAGCCATTTTCATTACAAATATTCTTTACTTCTCTTCAGAGAAAATCGAGCATTCAAATGCTCATCTTTATATGATGTGTTGTAAGTATTGTCTAAAACAATATATAAAATTAATTTTTAAGTAAAAATTAAAAGAAATAAACTTATATAAAAAAACGCCACAAAAGGCGTGTAATTATTATTACACTCCCATTTGATTCTGGGTTTTAAAAATTACAAAACCAATTATTATCTGAATATCACTGAAAAAAAGATCAATTTGAGTATGAAATAACCTAGAAAAAAATAACATACATTAAATCAATGCAGTATAGGAATAATAATGAAGAAATCTTCTGAGTAAGGTAAACACATGCATTTACTAACAATATCGGTTATCTGGCAACTTTTCAATGAAGCAAATTTGTTTCTAAGTACTTTACAAATACTTAGTCTTGAAGAAGGCAATGGAAAAGAGAAAGCATCAGAAACAGTGTTAAAGCTTTGACATATTAAATTTATATCACTTCCTTTTTTAGTAATATTCCGAATAAGATTGACACTTCCATCTTTTGCAATAAAACAGTTGTTACCTTCAGATGTTTTAAAATACCAACGCTCTGTTTGAAGCTGTAAATATTGTCTTACATTAAATTCTTCGGTATTTATAAGAATTCCTTCAAAATGTTCGTTTGTTAAGATAGGAAATGTCTTTTTTATATCTTCCCGTTCATTGTGAAAATTTTGTTTTTCTTCAAGTCGACGCAGTAATTGTTGGATGGGGGTTTGAGGTTTTCGAATTAGTTTTTTTATTTGACCAAGCATATTTTCATATAGAAAATTACTAAACTCATCTAATGGTCCTAAATATTTTACATCTTGTGCTATATGAACTAATGAATGCACATTATATACTAGACACTCTTGTCCATAAAGATTAGCAGCCTTATTGACAAAATCAACTAATAAATTGTTTGCAAAATCTGTGTAGTTCTTTGAGAGCTCAGAACTAGTAAGAATCCTAGATGCAACAAACAACAACAAAAAATGATCAAGCAAATTTGTTGGTAGAACTCCATCTAGTGCAAATGGACCTAAATACAACAAAAACAATCTAAATTCAGTTGCTTTCCATTGCATTATCTCACTTAAAGTTCTTGGTTTTCTTGCAAACTCATATGGAGTATATGCAACGTAACTCAACAACTTGTCAGACAATTTAGAAACATTTCGTGAACTAATTCGAACATTTAGAGGACCAATTGGTCCTTTCCAATATAATAAGAATCTTCTCATAACTCCAAGACAACCTAAATGCATAAAGTCAAGTCCAAACTGTGTTACACCACCAATATTTAGTGACTTTAAAGCATAAGGACTTTTATGATGGTCTTCATCAGACATTTCATTAAATGAAATGTCAGTTCTCAAGCAAGCATTTAGTTGAGGGAAGATCACTTTACCAACATAATCACCCACTTGAACACATTTTTCACAAGAATTGTAACCTGAATGATACTTGATACCTTTGACAAAAGCCCTTGCAGGAGCATCACAAACAAACGAATGAATTTTTAATGTAAAATGTTTTCCATTAATTAATAATCCGTTATGAAGAAGTGACAAAGTTTCCTTGACAAAATCCTCAAAAAACTCTACAGCACTTGATGGTTTTTCTTGGCCACAGAAAACCCCGATAACAAATACTGTTTTAATAACATTTTTTTAAAGCATACCAAGTATGGGCCATAAACTTGTTCTACTACTTTTAAAAAGAGGTAATCCATCTGTATTAAATTGAACTTCGAGATAATCTGTATCAGGGAGTAAAACGCCTTGCAAAACTTATTGAATTCCTTTTTCCAGCCCTATATGACTGTAATCTCCTCCACTAGTCAGTTTCCTAATCATATGATTTCTAGGGGTTTTCAATAATGTTCTTGGATCTTTTGGCAGGGATGGAAAGTATTGTCTTAGCAACAAAAGAAGTGCACCGATAGCAACTTAAGAAATTTTAAAGCTAACAGCCCACTCAGTCAAAGAGGTAACAATGTCTTTTTCTTCATGGTTGCTATTCGTATCACTTTCATTCTCTGAGTCTGAACTAAAATAAAAATTGTCATCAATATCATAGTCATCTTGATTATTACTACTACGAACAGCAAAATTATCTCTTGCAGTGTCATTATTATTCTCATATACGTTGTCATCATAATAAAGACTTCCACAGTCATTAGAAACATTACAAGTAGCAGAATTATTTTTCTGATTGCAACTTTCACCATATATTTCTTTCATATCTTTTTCCACTTGCACTCTCACTTTTCTTCGAATTGCTGAATATGAAGCAGCCATCTAAAATATTGGTGGAAAAATTATATTATAAAACATAAAAGATTCATGTAAATTATATTTATACTATAGTATTTAAACTTCACCTGAGAAACTCATTTGATTATAACTCTTCAAGGGTTGGAGTTTGAAATAAATATTTGAGTAAAAATTTAAAAAATATAGTTATGTAACACAAACATAAAATAGACAAAATTAACTATAACATTATTCAGACAAAAAAAAAGGATTCAATGGATTTACATATGCATATCTATGTGTATGCAAAACATGGAATTTAGTTATTATATTGCATATTGATTTATGATAAGTTAATAAGATTTGAAAACGTCAAAATTAAATCAAAGTATTTTTTGATTCACCTACTACCACTTCTTCTCAATCACAATCTTTTTTGATTCACCTACTACCACTTCTTCTCGTGATTCAATCTTTTTTGATTCACCTACTACCACTTCTTCTCGTGATTCAATCTTTTTCGAGTCACCTACTACCACTTCTTCTCGTGCTTCAATCTTTATCTGTCCGGTTATAACCACTTCTTTTCGTGATTCAATCTTTAGATGTTTTAAAATAAAATCTTTAAAACTTTTTTGCATTGAACAACAACTTAAAAGATATTGGATTTGTGTTATCAACTCACAAGCAAGTGCGCCTCAAATCAGTCAATGTATGTATGTCTCTAAATCAGTATAGCATCACAGCGCTAACCAAAGTATGCGATATTATATATATATATATATATATATATATAATATATATATATATATATATATATATATATATATATATATATATATATACATATATATATATATATATATATATATATATATATATATATATATATATATATATATATATATATATATATATATATAAAAAATAAAATGTCATAATCCTATCATCACATTTTAAATGACTTTCACCAGAAAAGTAAAAAAGTTCTTTAAGGACGACTTAAAATTCAAATCTGTATAAATATGGTTTTAAATCATTCATTATAAGATAATATTCAATGATTTAAAACTAGAACCATTTATTTATTAAAATAAATAAACAATAATTAGATAATTAATAATTAAGCTCATGATTAACAAAATTATTTTATTAACCATGAATTATTAATATAATATAAACTATTTCATTTTCGATATAATAAACTCCAAAAATTAACTTCAGTCAAAAAAGTCTTTCTTTGTAAAAAAATCATACATTCAACAAACAAGTACTTAAATTATAATAGGCAAGTAGTTATACAAATCAGTTATCATCACCACCTTCATCATCATTATCCATGACATTATCTTGATAAATAGACAATTCCTTCCTTTTAACTCTATCAGGAGCATCCCTTCCACCTTCACGATCCCCGGCATACTTTAACCATGATTTAACAACATTTTCAATACTGACTTCATTTGCGTCAAAAGACTTATTAATTTGCACAGCAGCTGTTCAAAACAAGTTAAATAACATGTATACAGGTTTATCAAAGATCATACAAAGTATACACTATACACTTATTTACCTTTTATACAAGATACGATTTTTAAATCTTTCACTCCAGTTTTATTACATCGCCCTGCCCAATTAAGTTTCTTAGCCAGATCATTACTAAAAACTTTTTCTAAAATGCGTCTTGTGGTGTCACTGACATCTTTCCCTCCTCTCATTCCCAAGTGATTACTCTAAAAATGTGAATAAAAAAAGTGCATAAAGTTTATAAGAAATGTATACTTCAGATCAATTTTTGTGAATGAAACCTTACAACAGCTTGAGCTGAATCCTTGTTATCTAGATTTTTTTCTAAACTTTTGAGCTCTAGTAAAGTTTTAACTGGTAACTCTACGCACTCTGGAAGTTCACGCTTCTTTACAGCAACCATTTTTTGAATAGCATTAAACATATTTTGCTGCACTTGCGAAATATGCAAAATTTCTTGCTGCATTGTTGCAAGTTTATCCAAAACTAATTTTAATGCTGAATTTGGAACAGCTATTGTTAGAAAAAAGACATTAAGCTAAAATCTGAATACAATAAATAGTGTCTTCAATAATTTTATCAAACTTTATTTGAAAATTTGCACAATCAACCATAAAATAAAAAATTAAACCAAAAACACATACTTGCTTCTGCTGATATAGGTTTATACCCAGGTGTTTTGCTGCTGCAGGCTGCTGCATTAACAAATAATTTTGATTTTTTACAAAAATCTAAACTTACTAAGTAATTTATGAAACGACAATCTTTTATTAAAAAGTTATAATAAATATTTTCCAGAAGATATTTAAAGTTTACCTTTTTCTACTAAAGCCGGGACATTTAATGTTTTTTAAAAAAATCACTCGAAGTAGCCATGGTACTAGTAGATTTTCTTTTCCTATTTATATCTAAAACAAAACAAAAAACATTTATAATTACTATAATATATAAAATA